CAGAACGGCCAGCACCAGGTCCAGGGATGGGGAGGAGAGGGAGGGGGGGCTTCAGGTAGGCAAACGTTCCAGTGCTGATAAACAGGGAGACCACGGCCAGGTGAGGGAGGCACGTGGAAAAGGCTTTGTGCCGTCCCTGCTCAGAGGGGATCCTCAGCACGGCCCTGAAGATCTGCATATAGGACAGCACAATGAAAACAAAACAGCCAAAAACTAAAAAACAACTTAATATAAGAAGGCCAACTTGCCTGAGGTAGGCATCTGAGCAGGAGAGCTTGAGGATCTGGGGAAGTTCATAGAAGAACTGCTCCAGGTCATTGCCATGGCAGAGTGGTATAGAAAATGTATTGGCTGTGTGCAGCACAGCATGGAGAAAGCCACTGCCCCAGGCAGCTGCTGCCATGTGGACACAAGCTCTGCTGCCCAGCAGGGTCCCATAGTGCAAGGGCTGGCAGATGGCAACATAGCAGTCATAGGACATGACAGTGAGAAGGGAAAACTCTGCTGACATTAGAAATAAAAAGTAAAAGACCTGAGAAGCACAGCCTTGGTAGAAGATGGCCCTGGTTCCCAAGAGGAAATTGGCCATGGATTTGGGCACAGTGGTGGAGATGGAGCCCAGGTTGAGGAGGGAGAGGTTGAGGAGGAAGAAGTACATGGGGGTGTGGAGGGGGTGGTCACAGGCGATGGCAGTGATGATGAGGCCGTTGCCCAGGAGAGCAGCCAGGTAGATGCCCAGGAAGAGCCAGAAGTGCAAGTGCTTCATCTCCTGTGTGTTTGTGAATGCCAGGAGGAGGAACTCGGTGATGGACCTGCTGTTGGACATTTGCTGTTTCTTGGCACTGAGGCGGGCTGAAAAAAGGAAAGGACAGGGAAAAATTACAAGAGAATCCTTTGAGCAAAGCCACTGCACTTTTCATAGAATACACACCCCCCCATCGAAAGGCATTTCCTTTCTCTTGTTTGTGCTGGCTGAGTGTGTTGTGAGGAGCCAAGGAGTCAGCTGTGCTCAGCTGCAGTGGGTACATGGAGCTGGTTTGTGACAGCTCCAATATTCACAACTGATGTCAGATGTAATACGCCTTTAATGGACGAGTTCATTCTCTGCTCTCATGACTCAGAAGAGTGCAACTACAAAAGACATGCTTAGCACATTTAGAAGAATTATGCCTGTGGTTTATATTTTCCTACATTGCATCTAAGGACTTTTCCTCTCAGGAGTAGAAATACTCATTTTAGGATGGAAAATGGGAAGAGTCTTGCGACAGAACAGACAAAAGGGCTCAGGTCTTTGTAGCTCAGTGCAGAGTCAGGAGAGATGCAGTGTTCATTAGACTGTCACCCAGCTGCCCTGCACTTTTGTTTGTGCTGCCTTGAAGATGACTTCAGGTATAAATTACCCATTAAAAAAGCCCCCAAACTGAACTCTTCTGAGAGCAGAGGAGTCCTGTTTCAAAGGGCAGATCTGCAAAATGTTCACTTTCCCAGCCCAGAGGTGGAGTTGTGATTGAGAGAGAAGGACACAGCCCCTCTCAGAGAGAAGCAAAGGCCACTGAGAGGAGAGAACTGACCTCCAAGGGAAAGCTCAGCATTCCCTGGGATCCTACAGCACAGCCATGCTCTTCTGGGGCAGCTCCCAAGCCCAGCAGCACAGGCAAAGCAGACAGCCAGATGTCCTGGAGATGGGATGTCCTAAAGGCAGAGTCAGCTCCTTGCTCAGCAGACAACGCCCAGCAGACATCGAGAGGGAGGGACCAAAAGAGAGCAGGCTGAAGGCAGCCTAGACCAGAGCTTGTCTGCAGTTTCCCCCCACT